GATGTAACGGCCATTAATGTAGAGTTTGAAGAAGATCAACTTCGTTCTCCCTTGCGCGCGTTCTTGCTTCATGTGAGCCCAGCGCGTCAACAGAGAATGAAAATCAATTTCTTCCGACTCTACCCAAGGCTCCTTGTATAGGATGTGGATCTTTTCAGCCTTGGAATCAGCATCAGATGGGGTTTCAGGAGAGGTTTGCTGAGTGGGATCAAAATCCAAATAAGAATCTGTACTTACATGTTCAGCCTCTCCATCAGTAGAGTGTGCTGATGATGCCTCTACCCCCGTTGTTGGTTTCCCTGCTGCAATTTGAAACAGTGTTGGACTGAATGTCCCGGTTTGGTGCAATGCAGGCAAACTCCTCTCTTCACCCTGTTCTTCCACTCACTTTCACTAATCCGGAGATCTACCCATGGTTTTGTGGCAGGATCTTCCGGTTTGGGTGGAATCTTTGCTCCCTTGGGAAGAAGGATAGTGTTAGTATTATTCTTCATCGTGGTCCTCGGTCCCTTACTTTTGAAGGCAGTCTTTTTAAAGGCATTCATAGATTCATCGTCATTTATACACTCAGACTCATGGGCTGACAAAGAGCAAGATGCCCCGCAGTCTTGCTCCTGATCGTCATCAAGAGAAGATTCAAGCACGAGGGTCTCCTCGTCAGCCTCAAGCAGATCATGTGCTGCAAAACGGGTGCTGCCTGAAACCGTTTGCGGCCAGTGGCCTTTTTGCCACTTGATCCACCCGGAAGGTCTTGTGCCTCCAGTTTGACYAAGTCCCGCATGAGGGTAAGCCAATCTGTATATCCGCTGAGCCCGAGCCCTAGGCGATCGTTTAGAGTAGAGGGGACCGTACCTTTTATCACATCCAAACAGGACTGCGCAGTCATCTCCAGATCCGGAGTAGCAAAGAGTTTACTAACATACTACTACAGGCTGTGCATGGTGCCGGTCCACTTGCTGTGTTTGAGCTTGTCAAGCTTAAGTCTTGCTTTAGCTGCAGCATGTGGATTAGCATATTGTTTGATCAAGAGATCCTCAAGTGCGGCAGTAGGCGTAGCCTTTAGCCAAATGTTCAGGTCTATTTTCTTATAGCCGGATTGGACAGCTTGGGTTTCTAGGAAACCCCGCACGACGGGCTCCACATTGGTCCCCAGGATAGCCGACTGAGTGGACGGGGGTGTCCCCAATACATCAAAGTAGGACCGCGTAGAGCTGATCCAAGACTCGACGTCGTCCTTTCCGTCATACTTGGACGGAATCTGCGCCGCCTTCCTGTCGATGTAAGCAAAGCTKCCGCCTGGCCCAGCCATTGCTGGGTCCGGGCCCGGGGCTGCAACAGTTCCAGAAGTCCCTGCACCACCACTTGCTGCTGCAGCAACAGCAGCAGCGGGGTCTGGACTTGCTGCAGATCCGCTTTGGTTGTTAACCACACTCAAAGAAGAAGAAGTAGAAGGAGAAGAAGTAGACGTGGTCAGAGGGGCAAAACCGGACTGACACGCAGCATTGGAGGCAGGGTAGGTGAGTGAAGAGACGATTTGAGCCTGCTGCGAATTAGCAAACTGTTGCAGCTGATCGCGGTGCTGCTGTGCCATCCTGGCCATGTCTTCGCGCAACTCCTTGAGCTGCTTAAACACCTGTGCGAGTTGGCCAGTATGGTCCTCAGCAACCCGGACCCCTGCTAAGGCTCTGAGGAGGGGAATCGTTTTCTCTCCTACCTCCTCATCAGTCAGAGCGGACACGGTGCTAAGGACGGCCTCGTGAGCCTGCACCTTATCCCTTCTCTCTCTCTCTCTTTCTCTTCCTCCTCCCTCTTCAAGGCTATCTCGTAGAAGAACTGATACTGCGGTTTTTCTGCCTCAGGGGCAGCGTCCATCTGCAGTTTCCAATCTGCTGCAGATGCCATGATGGAGGATGAGGGTGTCAGTAAGATTCTCAAGAGGGGTCCGTACTTCCTCTCAGCTTTGCGACGAACACTCCTCTTCCCTCCCCTCACTCCCTCAAGAGCAACACTCAATAACTTCTCTCTTCTCTCTCTCTCTCTCTCTCTCTCTCTCTCTCTCTCGTTTGCGACCGTGTAGACGCAGGCATTAATGAACCCAATGAAAGAAACAGCTTGGAATC